ACTTAAGATGGCCTTTAAGGGTTTTTTAATTTTTTTTTATATATATATGTTATTGCTGCTGTTATGTTTTATAGTTGATCTAAGCCTTTTATTTTGAAAGCGACAAAAATCTAATGCAGAAAGGAGAAACAGTTGGAAGTGTAGTTGCACTTGCCTTTTAAAAATGAAGATGTATATTGATTTCAATGAAATGTTAGTCTGGAAAGAAAAATAGAAAAGCATTTTAATAGGTTCAAACCATTTAATTTCTTAAAGGTCTATTTATTTTTTCTGTTTTGCAGTGGCTCTTGGCTTCAGGCCTTTTTAATATCCACCGTAACATTTTTAAAACTCGGTGCCCAGGTGTATCTTTACAAGTTCTTTTCCTTTACCAGAAATTTTATTTTATTTGAAGCAGGATATATTTTTAAAGTCACTAAGTTGCTTGCAAGGAGAAAAAAATAAGCTGCATGCTAAGTTCAGTCAGAGATGGTACTGCTTTAAAAATTATTAAGTTCTCTCTTTCTCTCTTCATTCTTCTTACTTCACATACTTACAGTGTTGGGCTTTATTTAAGTAATGTGATAAAAAATTTGCATTTTATTGGAATATTGATGTTGAAAAGTTGTTCCATACACAGTAAATATAGGCAATCACTTTGAGTAACTAGTGAATGCTATTATTTTACCTAAAATTGGAAGCATTTTTTCCTCAGCAGTTTAGATAGCGTCCAAAATGCTTTTGCCATTTCTGGCTGGCAAGAGTACTGTTCCTTGCTTTTACATAAATAGTTGGCTAAGCCACCTAAATGCAAATTACTTACCATTCTCCATTTCTTACTCCTCTGAGGATGCTCATGAATGCATAAATGTGCGACTGAGCAGTCCACCTCTTACGTGAAGCAGGTGGTAAAGATTGTATCATAACCAGCATTGCAGCATTTTCTGCTCTGCATCTTGTGGTGGGACTAGGTCAAGGGTACAACCTCTACGCACAGCGTGGGAGAGATCCGCACTACAACTACATACCCCTTTTGGCTATATCACCACTATCAGTTTGTTTCAGAGGAATAGTGGAGACTTAAAGCACGTCTGATCATCCCTGCTTATTTCCCATTGGTTTGGGTCTCGGGACAGTTTTGATACATACAAACTTAAACTCCTTTCAGAAGAAACTCTGCATTGTCCAACCCATAGCGGGGACGTAAGGGTCTGAACCAGTCGCTGCTCCTCTAGACAGGTTGACATCATGTGTGGTGCAGATGTTCAGCCCAGGGGACCAGACAAGGTCTTAGGGATGGGTTAATGTGGGGCCTTCAGCACCAGTGCTCCCGAACCCCTCCGTTGTGACAAACTACTTGCTGATGTAGACCGTGTTTCTTTCAGTGAATTTTGCTTATGTGCTATTTTTATCCAGACTGAGATACCTTTGAGGTGGAGGATGGCAGGGTTCTCGGTAACTGATCCAAGAGTCAGACAGATGCAGGCTCCAGAAGAGCCCTTCCTGCACGTCTCTGTAATGACAGACCTCCATTAACAGAACTCAGTAACAGAGAACAGCACCCTGAAATTAAACCCTTTAAAATAGGTGTCCTAAATATACCTATAATAGAAAAAGGATGTAATTGCTACAAACTCTATTTGTACAAATTGGAGCTAGCAGACGAGAGCTGTGCGATAGAAAAGCATAGATCATGGAAAAGTAGAGGTGCAGAAACAGAAGATGACAAAAGGATGGCAGGTCAGACAGGAGGGATGAGGTGGAAGTTGTAGAAGTTGTAGAAGCAGCAAAGGTGTCGTTTATATTGATTATAAACACGCCTAAAAAAAGAAAGAAAAGACATTTAAACGTAACAGTAAAGGGGAGGAAGAAGGGATAGTTTTCAGATAGGTAGCGCCATGGTTGCAGCAACTGCATTACTGAATGAGGAAATGGTGTGAACCAGCCAAAAGGCCTTGGCTGACAAATCAACACCTCCCTGAGGAAATGGGAGGGAAGAGAGGGGGATGTTTGTTTAGGAATCTCAAATCATTCAAAGAGCAGTATCAGTAGTCCCTGCTGGCTTTCCAACGGGTATGTGAATGAATCCTGGAGTTACCTTTTCTAGAGGAACCCCTGCCCATAATAATTCTTAATTTTATTTTTATTTTAATTTTACATTAAAATTAAACTTAAGTTTTGAAGACAAGGAAAACCAATTGAACAAGTGCATTTTAAAGATAAAGTATATTCTTTACAAGGATCTTCAATTTGAAAGGGAATCACCTGGTAGAAATCTAAGGTATCTGGACACTACACCGCGTGTCTCAGAAGTCTCTGGTCATCTACAGTGTTTGAAACTTTGCAAACTGTTTGGCACGCGTTTATGGTTTTTTTTCCTCTTCTGCAACGTTTGTTCACTGTTGTTTCTCATCAAAGCTACAAACTTATTTCTCACCCTCTCTGCTTAACATGCTACATGAAGTTTTTTTGCAAACGGATCAAGCTAGGGGCCCAGAAACAGTAATTTACTAGTCTTGCCTTCGTTAATGCAAACAGTTGTGTTCTTCTGGCAAGGCTTCATCCCAATTTTCCATGCCAAACGTTTCCCTCAGAGACCCCTTACCGACTGCAGCTAGAGGTTTGTTTGCTTAAGTGAAAGGCTAAAGGGACAACGTCCTCGAGAAAACATTTTGTAGCAGCTGATTGCTTAAAAAGAGCCTTAGGAAGCTGCCTGTAGCCATCCCCTAATGATGAATGGATAGATGGAAGAGGATACTGCTTTTATTCATTAGCATCTCTTTCCCATTCTTGAATCTTTTCCCTTTTCTGTTCAGATCTGTATTATATTTTAAAACTAGAAATGTCTTAAGTGGAAGAGAGATATAGATTAAGATAGTGTACAGTGAAATTATTAATCAATAACATGTTCGTAACTGGTAGCAATGTCTGCTACAGCAAAAAACAATGCTCTTCAGGTTGACTTGTTCCAATTTAATAAATGTAGCTGCTTATAAATTAAGGGTAGACTGACCTTGGAAATTTATATTATAAGGAAGTAGCAGAGGTATTACCTTCACTTTTTTGAATTCTCCTAAATTCAAACACGGCTGACAGATGAGATTAAAGATTGCAAACGTTTGTACCTAACACCAGCTAAGTTCTGGGTTAATGAAACAAACAGCAGTTGGAAAGTTGGTGAGATAAACAGTTCTTCAGTGTATGATTTATGGAGAACTGCTCTGTGATGCAAATGTTTCTATTGAAAGAAATTTATAATAAAAGCTGTTTATAACAGCACTGCTGCAATTTATGCTGAGATATTCTTGTTTATTTTCAATATTCTGAGGTATTGGATATGAGACACAGAAACCCTCATCTCATATGGTGACAATCTACATACACACACACGGATGGGGAATATTTTCTTGCCAGCTTAGACCATCTTACCAACTGCCAACAGTGTGTGGAAAGGCGCAGGTCATAGGAACTCCCTTCCCCTCCTCTGTTAGGGTAGGCTGTCCAGTATCTGCCACGCGTTTGCTGTAGGGCCAAGAGCATGTAACTGGAGTGGACAAGCTGCTAGGCCCTGCCTGCTTTCTCACAACTGTCCCGGCAGGTGCTCGCTCCGTAATCAAGGCAGCTCAAAGCTGCTTGCACTGCCCTGATGGAACGGGGTCACCTGAAAGTCAGGTGGGTCATCGTATGGGTAAATGATGCTTTTCTTGACATTCTAAGTATTTTGACGTTTTAATTAGGGAGAAATGATGCAACATGATGATCTTTCTACATCGAGTAAAGCCGGGTATTTATCTGCTTTGTGTTCACTTCCAAAAATTCCACCTTCTCCTTCACTTGCTTCATTGTTCTGCAGAAACTTCACGATATACAAACATTGTAGTATTGCAGAGACTGGAGTTAATTGTCAGGATCAAATCCAGAGAACAGAAATTTAGAGCATGAGTAATAAAGGTCCTGAGATACATGGCAGATTAATACAGAAATCTTAACTGTAAGGTATCTTGCCTTTTTTTTTTTATTTCAGTTAGCCTCTTACCATAACTGTAATATCATTGGTACGGGCTAATTTACTTGTAAATGTCACTCTAGAAGTTGTTCAAGAATATGAATGTGAATCTGCTCTCAAAAACTGTGATGTCCGATTTTCTCTCCTGTCTAAGGCTTTATTCATGCTCTAATTCTGTTGCTAAATCAGTTAGCGGTGGCTGTTGTTTTTTCCTGTAGAAATTATTTTTTTCTTTAAATTGTTTTCACATAACAAATCAAAACTCTTTGATGAGCACAGATGAGTTTAAGACATGCTTTTCAGATGTGCAGTATATTCAGTTACTAATTTTTTTCTACAAATGATGCTGATCTGCTATGCTCTCAGATGAGTGCCTTATTAAAATCTTGAAATTTTATGGTGCCCATTAGTAAAAATGTGAAGTAAGAAAATTACCAATCAAAATTCCGTGTTTATTCAAGTGTAAATTGATACTTACAAAACGTGCATTGGTTTATAGCCAGGATTCTGAAATTACAGCATTGTCACTTAGGAACATACCATAGTAATAAGCAGGCAGTAAGCTAATGTACTTTTAGAAAAAGTTTCTTTCTTTCCTTTCCTCTCGTTTCATTTAAAGTTTTTGGTCTACCAGATGAAACATAAAGGTTAAAAGTTATCATCTCACTTGAATACACGATGGAGAAAGACGGAGAGAGAGCGCGTTCTGTTGCAACCCCTTCATTGTCAGTAATGTGTGTGTAGTTTCATGAACTTCAAAAGAAGCTTAATTAATTTAATTATTATTATTAAATATTATTATCTCTTTAATTGCTAATCTGTATGTGTGTGTATAACAAATCCTTTCTTAGCTTACGAATCAATGTAGTAATTTTCAATATTTCGTGTTGATTAACTTCTCATTTTTGTGTAATTAACATGAGCATTTATCTTCCTGGCTTTTTATATGCTCTTTATATGCTTGTATATAGCTCGACAAGGAAGCATAGCTTGCCTTATTGGCAAAGCAATGGCACTTACTAATATAAACCAAACTAGTGTATTAAACTAAGCTTACCATTTCTTTCTTTTTTTTCTTGCAGAGCTGGAGTGGACCAGAGAAATTACTTGCTTTAGATGAACTGATTGACAGCTGTGAACCAACACAAGTAAAACACATGATGCAAGTGATAGAGCCCCAGTTTCAAAGAGACTTCATTTCCTTGCTCCCAAAAGAGGTGAGAAATACAGGTTAATACTGGACTATGCAGTGCATCAGCTGCCACCTTTTAAAAACTTCCTTGCTAATTATGGCGTTCAGCTTTGCCAACGTAGTGATGTAAACTGATGTTAGAGGTCCACAATTTGGTACATTGCCATAACATGGCTGCTGTGATTTCAGATTAACATACCTTTATTTCTTGATAGGCATTTAGATACCTGGAAATATGGAGAACTCCTTTGAAGAAAATCCCAGTAGCTTTAAAAATACCTCTGTATCTTAATTGGGCTGATTGTGCTTTTTTTTTGAGAACTAATTCTGTTAGGGCACGCACACACAAAAATTTCCTCCGGATGCAAGACCTTTCTGCACATTATTCTGTAAGTATAAGCATTAATGTTTAATGCTTTAAGTGGTGGGGGTTTTGTAAATATTACCTTTGAATTTATTTTAAACAAACTGAGCCCTAAAATCTCTACCAAAAAAACCCAGAAGTAAACCCAGAAAAGCACTTCTCACTCAGGATAAAGCCAAACCCTAATTAAACAGATATCTTACAGTAAATCCTTTACTGCAAATCAGATCACTTTCTATCAGGTTAAAGAGAAACTAAGATTCAGATTTCAGCATTTGTGCTCTTCAGCGTGTGTAACTAAATGCTGTCCACAGAAGAGTAATTTTTGATGTTCTTGCAACTAGAACATGAGGGTGGGTGCGAAAGATTACAAACCCAGTTTGCTACAATTATTAAGTGAATGTGTTTTAGTTCATTTAAAAATGGTACTTCTGACGTTGATTGATTTTAGGGATTTAGAAATTGGTTTGTTACTTGGAGTGGGGGGGAAGTCTATTTTCCTTTGCCAGATCTACCGCATATTGGGTTTTCCATGTGAAAATTTTCCTGAGGGCTGTCGTCTTCGTGAATCTTCAGTTACTAACACATTACAAAGCAAGTCCTTAAAAGATATTCTGGTGCTAGTATTTGGTTGCTGTCTTTAACATGGTCTTACTACCTGAAGATTGTTCTCTATCTCTGTTTCCTGACATTTTTTCTGGTCTATAACCTGTTTTTGAATACTTAGATGTACAAGACCCTCTTTCCTTTCATATACTGTCATATCTTCATGAGTCAGGAAGAGTCACAGCCTTCCCTTGCTGGTTAGCATTTGTAAGGGTTGGAGGCAATTTATGCAACGAGTATTACCTTAGTACACATGACATGAGATTAGTATTTACAGAAGCACTTCCTGTGGCAGCCTTTGTAAGTGGAAAGGACACTGGGGCAGGAGAAGAGAGTTTAGTAAGACCTCTACATGGTTGCCATGTTTCTAGAGAAGCTGGTCAAAGCAGCCTTAGTTCAGAGGTGGAGGAAGGCAGCAAGACTTCATATTTTGAGAAGACAGAAGATGCTTCGCCACTTCTGCATCTATTAAATCTGGAAATTTAATACAGAATTGGTAACAGGAACTCACAGCTCAGTTGTCTTTGCGTGATTTAGTGGCAAAACTAATTCAAGTATAACCCATGATCTAGTTATACTGTAACTAATGATCATGTTATTATTTCAGTTTTAGCAATTTCTTCACAGAAAAAATACACTCTCTAGCTGTAAAACTTACTTTCTGATTTATGTTTCTTACTTTCTGATTTACGTTTCTTGACTCCTTTGTAAGCTACTTGTGTTTAATTTGTTTAATTTATTTTTAGTGTTTGTTCTTTTCTCTTGAAACCAGAATATTGTTAAGCGCTTAGCTTCATGAAAGGCTGACTTCACCATGAAGCTGGCTTAAATAATTTTAGCTTCCTAACCCCCAGTCACTGTCACCAAAATTAACCGAGTTAAACAAAAAAACCCATGGAGCTAACTCCACCATTTCCTCTCCCTTTTGAAGATCATTCTTCACGCAGATCTCCTAAGTGATGCTGTCCCCAGCTACTTACACCGGCTGCAGTAGGGGGTGACGAACTGAGCTGTGGGGGCAAGAGTAAGTTGTTAGGGTCAGTAGTTCTGTACACAGGCTTCCCTATCAAAGCCAGCATCCTGTGAAAACGTGCTCCCCTGAGTTGTCGCTCCGCATTAACATCTATTGTTATCTCCAGTGCTGTTGGATGCAATGCAGTGATTTTGTTACCTAACCAGAACAAGATGATGATTTGGACAGGAGGGCTTTTCTTCAAAAACATTTTCAGGAATGCAAAGACAGTAACTTAATAGCTGAATAACCAAGAAAATGTTTGCTTTCCTCCTGAGGAAACATGCAGTCAAACAATTAATCTGAAATGGATACTCCTGTTTTCTTGCTGAGACTTTAGAAATAATTACTGAAATTACTTGTTTGTGAAAACCAGGTCTAGAAACCAACAGATGAGGAGTTTTGCTGAAATCAGCCAAAGAAATTTTGTTGGTGCCATGTGTGCAAGTGAAGAAAAAGGTGAAAGACTGCTTATTATTGGGTATTATTAACACTACAGCGGAGAGTAGTCACAGTTGAGTCAAAGGTCAGATCTTGCTACCTGAAGTTTTCTTATAACTAGATCCATGAGCTGAGAAAAAGGGACGTCATCTTTTATGCACTTCTAATCTTAAAGTCAACTGTGGGCTGTGTTGACCCTTGATAACTATTTAGATAAATATAGTCTAAAATAAATGTCACCCATATGTAACCTGTTTTAGAGTCAGTTGGCTCCCAGGTTTCAATTAACACCATCTTAGCAAGTGTCCATATCTGTATAGATAGGACAAGTGGTATTTAAACAAACTGCTGTCAGTTAAGGAACATCCAGCAAAAATGGAAAGGATCTCTTTCATGTTTGACATACAGGACTATCTGATGTGTGTTAGGAAACAGCACTTCTGAAATAATTTTACATACCAGGAATTAAGACGGAAAGTCTAAAAGGATGGGTACAGTTGTCGCTCTTGTAATAGAGAGCCTTAGACCAGATCCTAAATGCTGACTCCCTGAGTAGGGACAGAAGGAAGATTCCTCAGGTTTATGGCCTGGGGTGCATACGGGATCTAATGCATAACTTAAGTCACAGGTCCCTCAAATGTGGAGTCCCCTACATGCTCGACGTGAGCTGCAGGTGATGACTTGCAAACAAGGTGTCTGTGCAGTCAAAATGCAAATGGTTCTGGCGTACTGAATTTTTATTTCCTGCTCGGTCACTGGCTGGTCTAGATTACTGAAAGTAAACATTTCTCACATAATAAGGTCAAAAATCTGCTGAGGTCAACAACCTATGGTTATGACTTCCTTACTCAATTTCAGTCTGTGCTGCTTTGAAGGGTAGATTCTATTTATATACTTCATAACTCCAGCTAAAAATTAAATAAAAAATCCTAAACACAAAAAGATATGTGAAGCAGAAGTGGATAATCTGATTTCCCTGACAACTTTTGCATCTATTAGTTACTGACAGACCTCACTGTTTCAGCATGGTAAGTAGTTTTCTGCATCACTTTTTATCAATATTGTTCTTTCTACAGAGTTTTTAGCCATGGAAGGGACTTTCCTGCCTCTTGTACTTCTGTTTCCCGTGACTGGGGAGGTGCATTGTTGCTGTCAAGGAGAAAAGCTGTACTTGGTCATCATACCCTTTAAGGATAGCTGTCCCTGTATTTTGGATTGTGTTTTAGATGCCTCTGTCCCCGCTTAAGACTTCAATACATATGAAGATATTTGTGGAGATTTTGGGGGTTTTATCGTGGTCATTATATGGCTTAGCTCAGTCAACTGAGGTCTGAATTCTCCCAATAACCTTTAATTTTGTCACATGGAAAAGTTCATCTTCTGTTTGTCTTCTGGTGCTTATTGGGATTTCCCATATGTTTTTGGTAACATACTGTGTACAGTATCGAAGTTACATATTTCAGTCCTTCTTCATCCCAGTCCGTAAAACTCCCCGTAACAACAGTGAGGAGTGTGTTTGCATTCTAATCAGAAATGAGCTATAGGTATGCTGCATTCCCTATAGCTGCAGAGTGCTTTTGAACTCAAGTGCACGTAGCATTTACTTTTTCTGGATTCAGGCTTACTGAGTGACGTTACTCATCGCAACATACTTTCCCATTTGCTCACATGGTGAGTGTTGTATTTTCCAGCTAAACTCTCAAAATAACTTTTGGTATACTTGTTAGCTAAAATAACATAGGCATAATTATTTAGTAACAATTCTGTTAATGATTCAAAGTACTGTGGACTACATTTTTAAAAAGATAATTGTGATTTCAGCTGACATCTGCTCTCTTGCAAATACAAGAATAATTTCTGATGTGATGTGTACGGATTTAGTTACTTAAGATGATTGTTGTTATACTTTCATGTACCCACTGGAATAAACTGTAGCTCTGTTAAGATTCTGAGATTGTTTAATAATTTATTGTTTCAATTTTCTGTATTTCAGCCCCTGATGTGTGATAATACTTCGAGTTACTTCACTTTTCCTTTCAAAAGCAATGCCGAGAATACACTGTCTTGTTCTTTTTTACAGCTGGCACTGTACGTGCTGTCATTCCTGGAACCCAGGGACCTTCTGCAGGCAGCCCAGACATGCCGTTACTGGAGAATTCTGGCTGAAGATAATCTTCTCTGGAGAGAGAAATGCAAAGAGGAGGGTAAGGCTGAGCAAAAAGATGGATGTAATAGTCAAAGTGTTGCTGTTGTAAAAAGTGCAGTTCATTTACATAATAAGCTTAAAGTTTTATGAAGGCAATTCGGGTGACTTTAAATTTACTGCTAGTGATGCTTTGAACTACGTAGTGTGTATCTCTGTTGAAAGTAAGAAGCAGAAATAATCCATGGAGTACTAGAAATGAAACTAGAGTTAAGTTTGAACATCCTATTTATAAAGTGTACTAGGTGTGTGTTTTTAAAATACAATTATTTTTGCTTTTTAAGGATTATTTTTATTCAAAATACAACCAAAGCAGATAAGAGCTGAGATGTAAAACTGATAGGAGTATAGTCTTGCAGTTTATAAATAACATGGAGGAAAAACTGTTTCAGTGGTCGGGTAGAAGGGATGCTGTAATTTCACGTCATCTGTAGGAAAATTAACAATGGCACATGGTAGGGGGAGAAAATGCTAACTTGATTGCTTAGAGAGGGACACACAATCCGTAAGCCACACGGATATTGCCTGCTCGTGCCAAATCAAGAAGATATGGTGGGTAAATAAATGGGCAAAAAAAGGCTCCCAAGAAAGTAGCCACATATTGGAGCACATGAAGAGTGTAAGTTTTTATTTTTAAGGAGAATTATATGGACAAGGAGTCTGTTCTGGGGGGCAGAGCACATGCAAGTGATCTCAGAGCAGTGTCCCTCTTGGACAGGGGCAAACACGGGGACCTGTCGAGGCTGCCTCGGAGTGTGGAGACAAGAACTTGTGAGAGGTTGATGCAAATGCTTTAAAAAACATGACAATGTGAATGTATCTGGCTGTTTGTAAAGGCAGCTAAATTAATTACTTTTCTTTTGCAGTGGAAACCAGGTGTCTAACCTCTTAAATCTTCTCTAAAGATTCTCCTCTTACAAATTTCAGTGAAAATGCATTAAGGAGACAGAATGAGAAAAAAGAAGGTTGAGAGGGGAATGAGCCTACATTTGTGATCTTAGAAGTAAAAATAAATATGGCCAGGCATGAGAGCACAGACAAAGAAAGCAATATTGTAGACTGCTTAGCCTTAGTGAGGTGCGCAGTAATATGAAGGAGCAGTAAGTTCAAGACTTGCAGATGGAGACACCAGGGAAGGGGCTAAAAGCAGAAGAGTGAAATCCAGATACTGGGAAGAGACAAGACTTGCTCATAATGAGATGCGGTGGAGAAAGGAGCTGCCATAGAAAAGAGAGATGGGTGAGAGAATTGTAAAAAAAAAAAAAAAAAAAAAAATTATCTGTACTAGCAAGGCTAAAAGAAAGCACTGACGCTTAAGTGTCAATTCAGACAGCGCATAGCTATACTTAAATTCCAGCCGGGAGAGCACAATGCCAAAAGCACACAGCCTTTCAAGAAATCAAGAAAAGAATTAAAAGCTCACTAATACCAAGAGTCACAGTGAACTTAAAGGTAATGAAAATGGGCCACTAGAGAGGAGGGCTGCAGACAGAAAGGTTTACTTTTTGAACGGTTCCAAAATGAGCGCATGTGTGGTTATGATGGAGTTTGTTGAACGATACCCATTTGAAAAAGACAATATTCTGCTACGTTGCCTCAGAAAGGGGAATTCAGAACAAGCTAGTAGGTTGCCAGCAAGGCGTGATGAACTAGAGCATTTTCAGCCACGATTACGGTAATGATTGTGCTTAAACGACACGGAAAGATGTAGTACAAAGAGCCGAGGAGCAGGGCGGTGTCACTGACACACAATGCAAATATGGCATGTGGGAGGTTGTTACGTCAATGCAGTATTTAATGTCGGAGGTCACTGTGAAGGTTTGGGAGGGAGAGAAGTTGTTTTATTTGGGGTGGCCTCATCTCTTCCCCTCCCCCCTTTTTTAAAAATTCATATTAGGGATTGATGAACCATTACATATCAAGAGGAGGAAAGTAATAAAACCAGGCTTTATACACAGTCCGTGGAAAAGCGCCTACATTAGACAACACAGGATTGATACCAACTGGCGGCGAGGAGAACTTAAATCGCCTAAGGTCAGTTTCTGAGCTGTGTGCATGGTGCCATGAACAAAGCAGGATCAACTTGTAGGTTTCTTTTTTTTTTTTTTTTTTTTTCCCCCTTCGGCCAAGCCAGACTATCCTTCCACAAAAAGCAATGTATTGTTACAGAAAAAAAAAATTTGTATTTTAGCTTACCCTGGGTTTAAATGAATTTCTGAGCACCATATTAGCAAATCAAAATGTGGTTCTTCGTACAACAGGATTCTTCCACTGCTCTTCTAAAAATTTCTGTACAATTTCATGAATTCCTATAAATATGGCAGTCTCTTTGAGACAGAGAATCTCATAAACTTGATTGGAAATACTTGTATTTAAAATTAAACATACACACACATATAATATATAAATACATATATATGTGTATGTATTTGTAGAGCTGGGCCACGTCGCAACATAAAAATACTCCACAACTATTCTGTGATCACTTCATGCTTTATTTTTATACATATTCTTCTAAATTGAGCAGCACAAGACAATAACTTCATTCCATGTTAAGATTTTTTTTGTTTTTTAAAATATTAAAATTCTTTAATGACTGATATGTTATCATTACATCTTTTCCAATATGAAGATATGAAGCAATACTTCAAACCTTTTGTAAAATAAAATAGCAACTGTCTAATCAAACCTGGTCTTGAACAAGCAGTCAGAAACATGAAGAAAACCCATACTGATAACTTTTTAAGGTTTTAAGGCAATTCGGCTGTTTTCTTGATTACTGTACAACAAAATAATAAAAATAAGAACAAAAGAATTCCCATGGAAAACCTATGGCTATATCCTGCTGTTTATTTGGCCGTGACTTATGTACATCTCTGGCAACGGCTGTGTATTTCTTGCCTTGATACACCACATCAAGCTATCTTGGAATTATTATTAAAATTACAGCCTCAGGCATTATCCAAATGCCCATTTCATTTCGATGAACATCTTTAGAAGTGTTCAGATATCTTAAATAAAAAATTCCCCATCCTATGTATTCTGATAAGGATTTTTTTTTTTGCTGTATTGCAGTAAAATATACTGAATTGCAGTTTTTCCCAAATCAAGCATTGAAAATCCCAGCTCTATAAAGCAATGTTCCAATCCACATTTCCAGCACATTAAATTACCGCTTTTGTTTGTATTTAATTGAGTTAACGGTTTTTCTAGCTTTTTCAGTTTGGCGCTGCCTGGCATTTAGTAGATTACAATGCTTGGCTGGTAAGGAAAAAAAAATAGATATAGTCAGCCTTGACCACCAAAATACAAATATGCAGTAAATAATACCACCCCATCCTTTTTGTTCAAGATTGAAACAAGTCTTAAAAGGTAAAAGTAACTCAACTAAAAAATAGAGATGCAATAACTGCAGAGGAATTGAGGAATGTCCAGTTACTAATTCAGCCTACTTTTATTAGTGATTTTTTCCTGGTACTTTTAGGAGGCTTACAGTAACTGTTATGCGCTTGCTAAGCAATGCAGTATCGCTCCATGGAAGAAGGAAAATACCTTCTTTGGTCCCAGCTGGCGGTAAATCAGACTTGACACTGGGATTAAGGGGCCTTATTATTATTGAAGCAACTCTAGCATCTTACAATTTATGAATCAAAAGAGCACTTTGTTTCTCCTGCTTCTCTCTAATCTCCTGTGTTAAATTGTGACTGAACGTTTTTATGTTCTTTATCGTCAGGTGCTCAAAGGCCATGATGACCACGTGATCACATGCCTTCAGTTCTGCGGGAACCGAATAGTGAGCGGCTCTGATGACAACACATTGAAAGTGTGGTCAGCGGTTACAGGCAAGGTAAGTCGGTTATTTTGCTGAATTCCTTAGGAAACAAGCTACAGATAGAGCACTGGTATGTCAGAAATGCTGCTGTGCCATCAGACCGCACCGCAGGGTGGGTGGTCTTCAGTGCCGTCTGGTGCAAGAATCGGAAAAAGTACTGGTAAACATTTGGCTCATCTTTTCCTACACAGAAACTAGTCTAGTTCAAAAAAAGTCACCTTCATGTGAAATTGCAATGCTGCTCATGTTACCATTGGTATATATCCTTGTTCTCTTGGCAATTCTGCTGTTCTTGTGGAGTCGCTTGTGACATGGATTCTAAAGAATTTGGACAGATACGTTACTTTATCTTCCTTAAAGCTTAATTTAGCCTGCTTTTACCCCTCTGGAGCTCCCTTTCTCCCTTGTTTCCTAGCATTCTCTCTGTTGTTCTCAAGTTATTGAAATGGGGTGTTCATTTTACTGGCTCTGATTTCAAATACAGAGTTTGTTTTTCTTTCTAAGAAGAAACTATATTGCTGAGCCACCAAAAAAAAAGAGTAACTTGCTTTACATTTAAATATTTCCTATTAAATTAGATCCAGCTCAGGCAGGAATTTAATAAGCTTCAATAATTTAATTTTGGCTTAGAGAAGCAAAACAATATGTGCAATCAAAAAGACAGTACTGAACGTTTCACTCATGTTAGAACATCACAGCTACTCAGCACACAGATTTTTTTTGTTTTAAGGTGACTGACTGACCATGCTGCAAGGATATAGAAAAGGCCTCAGGGAAACAGTACTTTTTCCTTCTAGACTACTAGTGGTTTGTGTTCTTTGTTGTGTTTTAATGATGCTGTTAGGTGAACAACAGGACAGCTATTGGGGATAACATGTTTAAGATGTAAAAGGCATCCGCTTTATAATGTTGAAGCTGAATGTATTAAGCATTTGTCTTTGCATGCCTAGAAGATCCTTGACGGGACTGTAAATACTACTGTGGGGAAGAATGAAATTAAAAGCAATAGGCAGCCTCACCCTGCCCCTGTTGGATTCCCTACAACAAACTGTCTAATGAAGGAACCCATCTTGAAATTTACATTTTTTAATTGAAAAGGGCAGCCTAAACTCAAATGAAAAATACTTCCTTTGTACATAGTACCCTCTCAAAAGCAAAATGTTCCTTTAAATGTATAAAATTGATCATAGTAGCATGACTTAAAAATTCCTGTTCAGTAACTTTCTGAAAGTAATTACAAATCCTGTAGTGTGGCTATTTATCCCAAACCTTTAAGAGAGCCAGAAATTGTATATGAAGGATGGAAGAGTGCTGTATCAGCCCTCATGCTTACTGATGCTGAAGAATTAATAAAATAAAAAAAACCCTAAAGGTTGGTTTGTGCAAATGAACATGACTAAATAATTCCCTTGACAGCTGTAAAGCCCAAAATAAGGATTCTGTATTCTTACTGCTTTAGAAGGATGATTTCTTAAAATATGAGCAAATCGGCTGAAATAAAAAAAAAAAAAGGGAACTGTAAAAGTGAATAACAGCTATGAACTAAAAAAGATGGATTTGATAGCAGTGAATTAAGCTAGGAGTCAGGAATTGCAGAAGACTGGTAAAAAAAAGTTAAAGAACAGGAAAACTTCGTACAGCAAAAAAGGAAGGCATTTTCAAGTATGTTAGAAAGACCAGGATATTAACAACAGAAATTAGTATACTATCACTGATGCAGAAAAAAATACTTATTTTGGGAGAAAATTCATGTGATGGAAATAGAGCATGCAGTGATAACAGAACACTTCGTATCAGCAGAAACTCACATGGATGTTAAACAAAAACTACCAAAGTTTGGATTTTCTTATTACAGTTGATCCAAATAATCTGTATTTGATGGAGTTTTTTCTAAAAAAATTACCATGGGGTAAAATCGGTGTTTTTTTCAAAAGGTGTGAGCACAAGGAGAAGGTCCAAAGGATGGCCAGAAAGCTAAAATGTGTCAATATTTAAATGGAGTAAACTGAAAGACTGCGTATTTAGGATACATTATCTCAGATAAAAAATACTGGACTACGTCAATAGGAGTCAACTAACAGTTAAAGGCAGGCCACGGCAATTAATGCCACTTAGCATTAGATTACAGAAAAAGAGATCATCAAACTGTCTTGACCTCTTTTCTCGTGCAGTTACAGGTTTGACTGATAAAAATAATAGTGCAGAAATAGATGGCTATGTGCACTGCAAGACTGTATCCCCATGACACGATTGAAGAAAATAGAGCAACGCAAAAATCAACATGGCACGTATTTAAATGGGTTAGAAAGTGGGTAATTATAGAGATCATGTTGTTAATGTAAATGCAGAATCTTCATGGAGTATCTTTCGAGAGGGGTCTTGCAAGGATCTCTTCTTGCCTGTGCTAATTAGCACTTATTGCTGCCTGGTGAGAAAGCATATATAGTCGTTACTTGTAAGGAATACAGGCTGAGAGACGGAGACAAGTCATTGTTCCAGAGTGACGGAGGTTTTATAGAAGTAGGTGTGAGCAAACGCTGTCTCTACATGGTGAGAAATCGTGTCATACATTTGTGATGAAAGAAGGTAGGCTGTGCTTATGTAGCATGGGATTCTCTCCCGGGCAACAGTAAAGTCTGAAAAAGGTTTGAAACATGATTTTGCAGTATTGATGCTGTAGCTATGGCTTTACAGAATGCAATGTTTCTTGGATAAACAAACAGAAGAATAAAATAAGAGTATATGGTTTATAGAGTTGTGGTAAAACTACTAAATGAATGCTCTCTCCAGTTCTAACACTTATGCTTCAAAAAGCTACTGGAAAACCTGCAGTGACTCAGAAAAATGCCAGGAAAATTACTCAAGGCTGTAAAACATGCCCTGTATTGAGAAATTTGAAACGACAGTTTAGTTTATCAAGGGGAAGATCATAGGGAAAATTCTTTATAGTCGAAGTACTGACAATGGAGAGAGAAATTCAGTGAGTATTTTCTAAAAGGTGGGATCTTTTAGTTCAGTCACAAAGCAGTCTCCAAGGGTCTTCCGGCTCTTGCTATGAGAGACTACTGTTACCTCCTAAGTTTCCATTCAACTCTATCAAAAGGGTAACTAGACAAAATATTTCTTTTCAGTGTTTGAGAACACTGGTGGGGCACACAGGCGGAGTCTGGTCATCACAGATGAGGGACAATATCATCATCAGTGGATCTACAGACCGAACGTTGAAAGTCTGGAACGCTGAGACTGGAGAGTGCATACACACCTTGTACGGACACACCTCCACCGTGCGTTGCATGCATCTCCATGAGAAAAGGTAAGGCTTTGTCCAAAGCTACAGCCACAGTTTGGCTTGTAAGATACACTTGTGTTCACAGAAAATGCCTGTTAAACTTGGGTACCCCATCCGACATTGAGTGAAATACAAATCGGGCAAAGCTACGCACACTAAACTACATAAATCAACACAAGGGAGGAGATGATTAATAGCAGCAAAAGCGTAAGAGTACTAATTAAAGAACAGAAAATTGAGTCACGTACTTTATAAAGTCACATTCTACGTTATTTCAAAACTAATTCTTTGTTATGCTATGATCCAGTCTCCCACACTCTGAATAATTTCTCCTTTTTGTCAATGCTACAAACTTTTACTCATTTTACAGAACTTTTTAAGTATTGTCACTGCAGTATTTTTTTAAAATTTTAACTGATTGTATCATCATTTCTGCAATAGTAAACCATCTGTTGATTCAACAAACATTGGCAAAGCTCTTTTACTTGGCTGTGGTATGGAGCTGTTGACAGAGTGCCTGTTGGTTGCATTTCTTCTTTTTTGAAGAATTATGAGGTTTTTCTTTATCAATTCCATTAATATTAATTCCTTCTCATTTCTCTTCTTGCCTAAAAAAGCTTTTAGAAGTATAAACTGAAAAAAAATCAAGCAGAAGAACTGTTACTTTACTAAAAGTAAAAAGTCTAAAGATCTTCTTTGTTTAATTGTTGTAATTGGTTATAAAACAGTCATTAAAACAGAATGCTCATAGCACTGGCTTGAGCTCAGCATATTCGTAAGCTTTCACAGATAGAGAAAACAGTCCACATAATTTCTCATGGCATCATTTTGCTGTTCAGGAGTGAAGTGCCTTTTTAAATACTGACTGGTAATTACATCAAATAAACAGATCCTTGAGGAGGTGAGTAGAGCAAGGAAGAAAAACACTCAAGTCATTTGCAACCCTAATAAAACGTCATGCCAAAGCAGATCTTTGGTGGCTAGTGGAGTAATGTCCCAAATTAAAACTCATAGCTGATTTATACCCAAGTCTAATTGTTCTACTACTTTTACATCCAATGCTAAGTACAGGAGGGGTTTTCTTGTTCCTCCAGAGTGGTCAGTGGTTCTCGAGATGCTACACTGAGAGTTTGGGACATAGAGACGGGCCAGTGTTTACACGTTCTGATGGGCCACGTAGCTGCAGTTCGGTGTGTTCAATATGATGGCAGAAGGGTTGTAAGTGGTGCATATGATTTTATGGTCAAAGTGTGGGATCCGGAGACAGAGACCTGTCTGCACACGCTGCAAGGGCATACTAACAGAGTCTACTCATTACAGGTATGTGACTTTCATCTGCTGCTTTAGTTTCCTTAAGTAACATTTAAAGTCGGTTTATTTCACCTTGTTTATTAAATTGTGGTACCTGCTCCAAAATTATACAGGCCACAAGAATATAGAGGCATCTGTGATATTTCCCCTCTGTCATTTTGTTACACTAGTTACATGTTGTCTTAATTTAGAGACTGAGATTTTTTTAAAGGAGCTTTTTTTTTTTAAAGCACACAGTACAATAGAGCCCAAATCTATATACCAGCAAGGTAAGTAGTTTTCTGGGTTTTGGGGTTGTTTGGTTGGGGTTTTTTTTTTAAATCTGGCATGTATTTTGGAGCTATGGTTTTGGTTTCCCCAAATAAATTCTAATGTTACTATTTTAAATAAATCAGATGATACAGTAGTTGAAAATGCGCTAAAAACCCCACTGGATTAATGTTCTGAATTATGCAGAACTGTTTATCCTGATTTTGTAGTCCCATCTTCCAGTTCCAAACTGTAATTCACAGTAAGGCTGAACTTCAAGTTTTAATGCCCCGATGTAAATCTCCAGCCTTCTACTTCCTCTTCTCTGAGTAGAGGCCAGATCTACAACTGTGAGGCTTTGTCAACAGGGACATGTTATTGTAGATGCAGGTTATTATGGTACTGCTCTGTGGCGTGGCTCTATTGCCTGCCAGTCACCCGATTGCTCATCAGAACTGTGCTGGCAAAAATACACATGGACCTCATGTAGATGCTTCTTACCTTTACTAACCCAAAAGATCATCTTGCTCATTCATAGAGTCAAAGCATCACTTCCAGGCGTTGAAAGGCGAAAGAAATTAATTTCATGCTTGTGCCTGTTCTCACCACAATCTGGCAGGACTTGAAAAAGAAATTAACAAAGACAGTTCAAAATCAGGAAATCGCATTCGGCATGTAACTACTCTGGTTTGTGGCTCAGAAAGTGAAGCTCGGTGCTAGAGATATTTTTCATAAATGCTTCCATCATAAGGTATCTCTTACCGTAATAGATTACATATGAACAAAATACCTAGTTCGTTTCCTTTCCCAAAATATGTAGTAAAATTCATCAGAAATCTCCAGCCCTTCTCTTAAATTCATATGCTGAGGAGGATTCTCTAGACAAGCAGCAAGCAAGTTAAAAATGCTGTACTACCCACCTATCTCTTAAAAATATTCTGAAGGTTGTATTTCATCTAGGGCAGTTTGGGAACAGTGTATGTTATCTGCCTTACCTTCACCAGTGGCTCTTGTTTTGGCTTATGAATATTCATGTGTCTCTGATACTGTAGTAATAATCGTTCAAATAGTTGGGTTTATGTTACACACACTTATACTATTTACACCCTGTAAATGGAACTTGGTATTCTAAAACAAATTTCTGGGGGGCAGGAAGCTACAGGTGCTTACAGAAAGAGTCTTTAAAATTGTGTGGTGAGCTCCTGCCCTTTGGCACAAAATAGCCCAAAACAGCAGAACTCCCATAAATACCATAATCAGGCCGAACAACCAGCCTGTCCTCCCTGTCCCCGCTCCATGGCAGGTTCTATCATACCTTGGTATTTCCCCATTTGTAGACCCCCAACATAGAGATCCTTAAGCAGCAATCAAAGACTACTGACCATGTTGCGTTTTCTTAGTCGCCTCTTTCTTAGCTACCTTTGAAGTAATCTGCAGATTCTCAGGGTCCATGGATAACAGCTCAACCACTGATCCAAACCGTTGTCTGTTTGACTATGGCAATATCAGAGTAAAGTTTGTCTTGATGCTCAGCCTTAAAGCTTATGTACATGGAATACAAGTAATTTGTCAGGGGGAGTGGAATTCAAAATTTGTTACATCAATCTGGTTTACTTCTGTTTAGGAAAGAAAAACATTCTGTAGTGTTTTCACCCAACAAGTCTGCTAGGCTACTTAGCACTCCTCGTCCTTTTATCTAAACTCAAATTCGTTCTTTTGAAAGCCCAAAACCGGATGCCAAATTCCAACCAAAGTCTTACCAATGCTTACTAGAAGTGAAAAGTTATTTTACGTGCCTTTATATAGCATACCCCTATTTCAGATACTAGAGTGTCTTTTTTCACTATATTTTCACCAGAAATGCAATGTATACAGCAGATAAGCAGTCTGTACGTGCCAGTCGCTCTCTACATTCTTTTGAACCTAGGTGCCATGCTCAACCATGTTTGTCTGTAGAGATCTAAGATGTTAGTTTTCTGCAGGTTTCTGCAGTTTTCTTTTATAAAAAGAAGCAGTCTCAGATAGTTGAGTTCCCTTAATTGGGTTCGTTCTTCACCATTATTGGATACCAGTCAGTCCACATGAACAAGTAGTGTCGGATTGCCCTAGCTGTAACAGACTCCTGCCCAGCCATCATTCTCCCAGGCTGCAGCTGCACCTTCATTCATTCCCTGCCAAGCTCAGATCTTCACAATTTTCTCTTGACTTTTACACTCTTTGCTTTGGGTCAGTTCTACCATTTCAGATGTCACCCAAATCCTAATGAAAATACTAAATGCCAGACCCCCCCCGGAACTCTTTCTGATATCTCTAATAATGCTGTGAGCAAAGTCCTGAACAAGATAGTATCCCTGCGTCAGATTTGCCTCCCCCTTTGTGAAAATACAACCAAGACATCTGCTGCTTCACATGGCTTTTTACTCTGTCACAGAAAAAAAATCGTGTTGGTTAAGATCATTTTCCCACAAATCTGTTTGCTGCTACTTACCGCATTGCTGAGGGCTTACAGCCAGATTGATTATTTGTTAGTTCCTTCTGGAAACTGAAGTTAGACTGACCGATCCATAATTCCCCATCTCCCATCATCATCTCCTTCAATAAAGAAAGGAATTGTATTTGCCATCTGAAACCTTGTCTGTCTTCCATGGGTTCTCAAAGATAGCAGCAGATGTCTCCGAGATTGTCTTAAAACAACTTGCCTTATGTGTTTTTTCCCCCATTCTAGCAAAAGCTTGTACTCAGTTGTCAGTGGTGTTAGTGCTGTGAGCCTACACTCAGATGGCTGAGGACTGAAGCAAAAGAAAGTTAAATAGCTGGCCTCACTTGGTGTTTCCTTCCCACTGAGCATAAATGAGCTTTTTTATTTTGGCCTTCCTCTTGTTTTTGTTTTACAGAATAGTGTTTTATCATCCTTAACGGCTCTTGCTAGTTTTGTCTTGTTTTGTGCCCTGCCTTTCTGATTTTGTCCCAGTGTGCTCTTTTAAACACATCTATTGATCTAGTTTCTACTTTTTGTACAATTCCTTGTGCTTTAGCCAAGTGAGTCTTGGTAATTTACTACACTTCCTATCTTTCCTTCACACAAGAGTATTTTGTGTCTTTAAGAAAACGCCAACTCTCCTGAACTCTTCTTCCCCTCAGAGAATAGATATATAAAAACCTCATGGGAAGGAAGTCTCAATTTATTGAAGTATTCCTCCTTGAAGCTCACTGGTTTTATTCTACTGCTCTTTTTCCTTCCTTTTTGAGAATTCTGGACTCTTACGTCATTGTCACTGACTCTCAAGTTACTTTCTACCTTTATATTCTCTACATGTTCAGTCCTCTTGGTCAAAAGTGTCTCATCTCTTACTTTATATCTATATATACATCTCATCTTTTTACTTTATATATAATATGAGACCAGAAGATCCAAGAATTTAGACATCCGTGTTAGCCTGTACACCTTTCCCAACAGTAACTAGGAAATTAAAGTTCCTTACTGCACACAATTATGATTATAAAAATGGCTAAACCCAGCATTTTTCAATTACATCCCTTCCATTTTCCTATGTTTTGGCTTCTGTGTAGACGATTCTGAATTAATGTTGTTACCCTTCTCCAGCATCAACTCCCTCTGACTTGTGAAAAGCAGTTTTGGCTTATTAATGTCTTTATTAGGAAAAGAATATTCTGTTACTATTGCACACTGCAGTATAGTCAGGATGCTGTTGTGTTTAAAAGAGTTGTATTACGTTTAAAAGACCAATGGTTCAGAGTCTTTCTCCTTGAACCACGTACCTCGTAGACCATGTCTACAACAGGAAATTACACTGACCATGAATCACCTGCTCTGATATCAAACATGCCATCACTACTTAGACTGAATTATTATTTTGTAATGCAGCTTCCGAATATATAGTATCTAATGTTGCATTTAGTAAATTAAATGCTTAATAGCCTTCTTCATACAGAGCATTGCACGATCCTAATGTAATTGTTTGTAATAGATTTACCTTTCTTGTAGTTTGATGGTATCCATGTGGTGAGTGGATCTCTTGACACTTCCATCCGAGTTTGGGATGTGGAGACAGGCAACTGCATTCACACGCTAACAGGCCACCAGTCTCTCACAAGTGGAATGGAACTCAAGGACAATATACTCGTGTCTGGGAATGCCAACATTAAAACAGGACAATGTTTACAGACATTGCAAGGTGAGCTTAAACTACCTTCGTGTAAATCAAGCTGCCTGCAGTAATCTACATTGCAGATTCTATATAAAAAACTTCTAAAATTACATACAAAGAAGCAAGCATGGACCACTTAGAACTTAAGTATTTTTCTGATGACAGCTGTATGATCTTTCTCTGAATTAGAAGAACAAAATGTATTTAATCTAATCTATTCAAATCACTTGCCTATTATGAAAGGCAGATGGTCTGGACTGATAGCAATTTGCTACGGGTGTATTAGCCTAATAAGCCTCAGAAATATGTAGGAAATGACATCTCAAAACAGTCAGTCAACGTATTTATTTAGGGGTCACTTGGATGTTTCAAAGCCTACTGATTAATTGGATCGGGAGGCAAAGTACACTGTCTGTTGCAATAAATCAAGAGAAATGAGTGGAAGATGTTTTCTTTATTTCAGTAAGAAGAAAGATTTCCATTTCCATTCTGACAGTTGCCACTCAAGCATTGTGCACACGAATGTGGTGTTTTCTCTCCCCCCACAAAAAAGGTCTTATAGCATTCCCATATATCATATGCAGCATCGCTGCAGAAAATTAAATTTCACTGCAAAGCAAACTCTGTTGTTTTAGCAGTATATATTTATATGTCAATATATAACTCTCAGTATTTACTGATAGAGTGATCTCATAATAACACTTCAAAGGGACTTGGAGACAAACGCTTACAGCGGTCACCTCATTCTGGATGATTAAGTTCATTGTCATGAATGTCCAAGTGCACACTTGCCCTATTGTTTGTATACAACGAAACAAGATCACTGTAACAAAGAAGGAAATAGTGGGGGATTTTTCTATAACTGCATTCACTTTTTGAAAGCACAGCAAGGCTTCTGTACCTTTTAATGCACAAAACTGAGTTAACGCATCTAGGTAGAAAAAGCTGTATGCAAATAGCTAGGTATTTATTTTATATGCAGTCCTGTCTGACATTGCTTTCTAATTACAAATAAAAATGCTTTGGTTTACTGTTACAGGTCCCAACAAGCATCAGAGTGCTGTGACCTGTTTACAGTTCAACAAGAACTTTGTAATTACCAGCTCAGATGATGGGACTGTAAAACTTTGGGACTTGAAAACGGGTGAATTTATCCGAAATCTAGTCACATTGGAGAGCGGGGGAAGCGGAGGCGTCGTGTGGCGGATCAGAGCTTCTAACACAAAGCTAGTGTGTGCGGTTGGGAGCCGCAACGGGACTGAGGAAACAAAGCTGCTGGTGTTGGACTTTGACGTGGATATGAAGTGAAGGGCAGAAAGATGAATTTGTCCAAACGTGTAGACGATGTCCTCCTTTCCCTCCCCCTGAAAAAAAAAGAAAAAAGAAAAAAAAGAAAAAGGAAAAAAAATCCCTTGTCCTTGGTGGTGCAGGATGTTGGCTTGGGGCAACAGATCCTAAAGACCTACAGACTACGAAGGAGAAGACAAAGATGACAAACTATAACTGACAAGAGACGCATCTGCTGTCTCGTCACATAAAAAGGCTATGCTTTTGACTGGGGCAGCTTTGCAAAAATACGACTCTTGAAATGAAACCAGGTGCAATTATTTCTTTACTTTCCTCCGACTGCTCCTTGAGCAATTTGGAGGTGAAAAAAAAAATTGTTACAGTTCTTGTTAACAAGTTATTTTACCACAAAGATCTTGAAAGAAGCTGCACAGGCGAGCCTGCTCGTGCACCCCTGGGCCACCCGGGGTCCCGGCAGCCCCTCCGAGCAACGCGCTGTCCCTTAGCCCCGCTCTGAGCAGGGGGTTGGACCGGACAACCTCCAGAGGTCCCTTCCAACCTCTACGAGCAGTCACTGGTTGACTTTCAAAAACTAGAGAGCATCTGCAACGAAAAAAACAAACGAAAACAAAACCAAGAGAGTCCATTCCTGGTGTGGAGAAGCTAAAATATTACTGTGAATTGTTTCGTACAGTTTTATCAGAGCTTTTTCTTTTTTTTCTTTTATTCCTCTTTTTTTTGCCAACCATTGCCAATGTCAATCACAGTATTAGCCTCTGTTTAATCTATTTACTGTTGCTTCCATCTACACTCTTCAACGCATAAGTTGCTCTGAGGTGGCAAGTTGTCCTGGGTTTTGAGAGTCCTCTGATGGATTTAATTCGCAATGCTGGTGCTAGAAGTAGGTCTTCAATTACGGGATTGTTGTCCCACCCCTGTACTGTATTCCCAGTGGCCAAACTTATTTATGCTGCTAAATGAAAGAAAGAAAAGCAAATTATTTTTTTTTATTTTTTTTTTCTGCTGTGACGTTTTAGTCCCAGACTGAATTCCAAATTTGCTCTAGTTTGGTTACAGAAAAAGACTTTTTGCCACTGAAACTTGAGCCAACTGTGCCTCTAAGAGGCTGAGAGTGGAAGAGTTTCAGACAATTAAGAGTGAAGTTTGCCTGCAAATAAAGAATTGAGTGTGTGTGCAAAGCTTATTTTCTTTTTTCTGGGCAAAAATTAAAACACATTCCTTAGAACAAAGCTATTGCAGCCTGTTCTGTGGGGAAATTTTTCTTTGTGAGGGCTGTGGTGAATGGAATGAACATACATTAAAAAAACTGACAAAATTTTTAAAAAATATTATAAAATACAAAAATGAAAATAAAGTTGCTGGTCAGTCTTAGTGTTTTACAGTATTTGAGAAAAAAAAAACAACTGTTACAGTTATTGCTGGGAGGAACTGACAGAGCAAAAACTTACGTTTTTGTAAAGATGTCACATGCAAACAAAATGAGAAACAAGAGAGTCAAATGGTTTGCCTCATTCTCCAAGAGCCACAACTCAAGCTGAACTGTGAAAGTGGTTTAACACTGTATCCTAGGCGATCTTTTTTCCTCCTTTTTTTTTGTTTTTGTTTTATTTATAGTCTGATTTAAAACAATCAGATTCCAGTTGGTTAATTTTAGTTATGTAACAACCTGACATGATGGAGGAAAACAACCTTTAAAGGGATTGTGTCTATGGTTTGATTCACTTAGAAATTTTATTTTCTTATAACTTAAGTGCAATAAAATGTGTTTTTTCATGTTAGTATGTCTATCTTTTTTTTTTCTCCTATTTCTTGTTAATTTAATATCATATATCCTGCGAAGGGTAAAGCAGGTCAAGTTGCTCAGCTTACTGGTAGATGCTAAAATATGCCGCAGGACTTTTTATGTAACCCTTCCGCAAACAGGTGCGCGAGTGTCCTCTCCTTCAGTTGCCGTATAGGATTTGTCACATGGGCTTTGACAAACATGCGGGAAAGCCATTAGCTTCCCATCGCTAAGAATGTGTCAGGATTTGAGTCTGGAGGGAGTTAGCTATAAAAAGCTGCTCAAGTACGTAAAACTTCTTCCGATAGCATCTTGTTACTGCATCTTAAATTGAAACTTGATGTTTATTATTTATGGCTTTCAATCAATTGATTGCAGTCTGACAGCAGAGAACAAATCCATAAATACTACTAAAATCAAAGTTAGGATTGTAGGAGAGCTTGAAATAAAGCTTCTGAAGAAAAAAAAAAAAACCCCACATCAGTCCAGATCAGTCCAACAGCAGTTTTATCAGTGCCCTGAAACCAAGGTAAGTCATCGGCTCTCTCAGAAACTTACCACTTGAGTGTCAGTTTCTCTCTGAAATCTCCTTGACCAAAATCATTGTTTTCTTCTGTGTAAGACTCCTCTCTCAGGGCATAGCATTTACTTGTTCATGACAGTTTTCCCTGTAGAAAACTGTCATTAAAGAAAACCAAACCAAAACATTAGAAGAGAAAATACATGGATGGAAAAGAAAAATATTTATATACTTTACATCTATGACTATGTACTATTCAAATGTAGTTCCAATCCCTACATTATGCAAAACAAGCAATGCTGAAGGATCACGCTTCCATCTGGCCTCTAGAGATTAAAAAGCCATACAAAATGACTGAGCAGCTACAAAGTGTAAAAATCTGTTCATTGAGTTGGTGTTTAAAGGAAAAAAATTGCAGCAAGCACTGACATATACAAGCTATGATCGTCTCAGTATTTATGTAAAAACAAATTAAAGAGCTAATCCTCTCCTAAAATGACAGTGAAAGTTTGCCAGGACTTCACATTGTTCTGCTGAGAACGCAGGCCAGGACTCTCAGCCCCCTGATGACAGAAGGTACGTCAGTCTGGGCTGAACTACATGAGAGGGGATGGAAATAGAAGGGTAAAAATACGAATATTTAATGCAGGGAACAGAGCAATAGCTTTTAAGATTATGTAATTTTCTTTCACGATTTGTAGAAATTGCAACAACATGTTTTCAAAGAGCAAAGGCACTGCCCTGATGGTGGAGAGAATGAGAGATTTCTGAGTAACAGTGCGCTGGAGGGCAGGAATACAAATCGGGGTAGAAGACTGAAACGACAGAAGAGGAAGACGAACAAATCCAAATCGGTTCAAGCTCTGTTTAAGTACACTTTAAGCAGCCAATATGACCAGGAGCAAAATGTGCTTAACAGAATTCGGAAGTTTTTCAGTTGGTAGTGCAGTTCCAGCACTATCTTATGTTCAAATTAATGCAGAATAACTTGAACACATTAAGCAAACCACATTTATAGCTCCTTTCATCCCAGATTTAGGTTAAAATAAAAAAAAATTACTGGCTGCAAACTCAACATAGGATAGACTGTCACATTAAATACAAAAACCAACACAGTACTTAAAAATAACTTTTTTAAAAGGTTTTTCCCCTTCAATAAAACAACTTCACAAAGTTAATTGTGTTAGTGCTCTAAAGACTTCTATTTTGTGAAAAATCTGTTTAGGTTTGTAGGAGTTGAAGTTGTTTATGAGACATCTGAATAACATAGCTCAATAAGCAGAAATTTGTTAATTTATTTAAGTGACAGCATTTAAAAAATGGGCCTGTATTAAACATGTCGTATAAGAAACTCTTCAAGCAGTTTTTCTTTACAGTCTCCTTATTGCCCCCTTTATGTTGACACACTCACTGTAACATAGTTCACTTAGTATGAAGTCTTCAGTTTGGCAGCACGTGCTCCAACTGAGACTGTTTAGGAAACACTTCCATTTCGTGTAATTAGATTTTGATTTTAAGGTGGGTGGAGTGGTTTTTTTAAAATAAAAACATTTAAGAATACTAGTGTAAGACTATAACTGCTTTACGTTCTCAATACGCAGGCACTTCTTTAATCCAGTGGCTTAGTCATCGTAGGCTATATCAAAGTATCTGCAGCTATCTCTAGATAATTGCACTACTGTTTCTGGCATCTTACCCTCTTGTTTTAATGCTCATTCCCTTTTTTCTTTTTGTTTTAGCCCCAGAAAGAGCTTCCTCATTTTCTGCTGTATCTGAAGCCAAGTCAACAACATTGAAAGATTTTTTTTTTTAATAGGTATTATTCTTAGTGGACCTTGATTTTAGCTAAGTCAGAACTAGTATTGCCACTTCCTCCAAGAGCCTGTTCCTATGGTCTCCATATACTCATTCAAGAGGTAAGACCAGACATTTAACAGCTGTGTCTACGCTACTCTGTAGTTCAGATCAGCAGCTCTCCCAGCGGAGCACAGTGCTGCCTCGGAGCCCACAAACAGGATTCCTTCAGGGTGTAACTAAACTTGGAGCAGCTCTCCAGGAGCACACCCCAGGCACCCGAGCCACTAGAGGAGCACGTGGGACCAAACCAGAGCTAGTCCAACACCTCAAAAATACAATCATGCGGACATTAGGTCCGCAGGACCAGCAGATTGCCGCTACAGCTCTGCTCCTACTGCAGGGCACTAATTGCTAATGGGGGCGTAACCTTCAACAAACCCTCTCCCACCGCACCCCTGGCTCCTGATTCGTAATCGGCAACCAGCTCCCATTCAAACAGCAGCAGCAGCAAAATGGAATCTGCCTGTTACCACTACAGAGTTTTTGCCAGAGAAAAAAGTTCGGATGCCTTCACCTCTCTTTCAGCATGCTTATGGAGAGGTTCTTCTGATCGACTTATGGAATCCAGTTTAAAAGAAATGCAAATCTCTCACTATCAGTCTGGCCAAAATTTTCTATCAGCAAGTCAACACCTGAATCATTCATAAGAAGAAGTCATGAAATTCTGTAATTAGATAGGCAAAAGAACCAGATTATAACAATAAAAAAGAAAAACCTGCCAGTAATTACTTAAGTCACTCTGACCAAACAACTGTTAATTACTTGGAAGAGTAATATCCAAACATACTGACTACTGAATCTTTAATAAAAGTGGGAGTATTATTTTCTTTCCATCTCCTGCCACTTTATCTATAACCTTGATCCCTGACATTGTGCAGAGATACACATGTGATGATGTTTAGTATTTTATGATACATGATGTTTATGATTATACATGAAGTATATGATCTATATGATATACACCAGGTTTTTCAAACTTCATCTAAAAATGGCATATACAATTTTTCAAACACGTCTTCAAGCAGGCTTATAAATACAACAGTAGTTTTAACATAAAAGCTGTTCCAGATCCCTTCTGAGATAGATAGTCTGACAAACTAGGTGTCACCAAAATTCGGCAGCCAGTACAGGCTCTTGCTCCCTGTTCAGATTGCCAAATGGCCCAGCAGCTGTAGAGGTA